GGCAAAAGATGTATTGTTGCCATGAGGCAAGTTTGTGAAGAAGAGTTGAAGGGTGATATCAAAGTGCCATCAATAGCTGGATCTTGCAAACTTGAATAGGGTAACAAACAATGTTTTCTGACTAAAGAACCAGATTCTAAGTGCCTAGAGATAAGTTGATTTACTTCTAAACTTACCTTATCATATCTGGAACAGCAACTACAATTATAGCCACCATGTAATTATGTTTTTGGGTAATCACAATTGTTCTTGAAGGTCCGTGTCCTTTTTTCAGAGGCTAAATAGGAGAATATTTAGTATTATTAGGGTATGATATGTATCAGTACTAACAAATATTTCAAGTTAGTTCACACTAACTTTTGCAATTTTCATAGGAATGATGCATAGTTGTTTTATTATTCTGCTAAGTGAAGGAAAGTTCTAATGACTTCCATCTGACCTGTCCTTTGAAAATAAAGTGTCCAATCTATGGATTCAAGAGACCACATGTGGGTTGTGGTGGTTTTCAAATTTGTCTACTACAATTACTCCCTTGGAAACTAGGGAAATATGCAGAGTGTATTGATAAAACTACTGGGCATACTGTCATTCAAACTTCAGCTAGTATCCCATTTTTATTATTTAAATTCCATTGGGGGCCACTGGGGCATGGCTCAGCAGTAGAGTGCTTGCCTCCCATGTGTGAGGTAGTAGGTTCAATCCTCAGCACCACATAAAAGTAAATAAACAAAATAAAGATACTGCGTCCATGTGAAACAAAAAATTATTTTTAAAAAACTTCATTGGGGTATAGTTAATTTACAGAACAGTGCCACATTATGGATCCCCAGAAATTATTGTCAGATCAAATATAATCTGATATTGACCTTGATAAAGGCCAAGTATTTTGATTTTCCCTCATTATAAAAGTACTCTATGCTCTTTGGGAAAGGCTTGGGTAAATGTTTTCATACATACTTGTGGCAATGTGGCAGGGCCCACCTGGAGAGAGAGAAAAAGGGAGAGAAAGAGAGAGAGAGAGAGAGAGAGAG